TTTAGCAGGTTCTCAGTGCCTTTTTCTTTTTCTTCTCCTTCAGGAATACCTATAATATAAATATTTGATCTTTTAATAATATCCTATATTTCATGTAGACTTTATTGTTTTTAATTCTCTTCTGTTTCAGCATTCTTGTTCTTTTTTTTTTTTTTGACAGGCAGAGTGGATAGTGTGAGAGAGAGACAGAGAGAAAGGTCTTCCTTTTTGCTGTTGGCCACCATGGGCAGCACGCTGCAGCTGGCGCACCGTGCTGATCCGAAGGCAGGAGCCAGGTGCTTCTCCTGGTCTCCCATGGGGTGCAGGGCCCAAGCACTTGGGCCATCCTCCACTGCCTTCCTGGGCCACAGCAGAGAGCTGGCCTGGAAGAGGGGCAACCGGGAAAGAATCCGGCGCCCCGACCAGGACTAGAACCTGGTGTGCCAGTGCCGCTAGGTGGAGGATTAGCCTATTGAGCCGCGGCGCCGGCCGAGCATTCTTGTTCTTGAGGTCAAAATTCTTTCTTCCATTTGGTCTATTCTGTTATTAATGCTCATAATGGGGCTGGTGCTGTGGTTTAGCAGTAGAATCCTTGTCTCCAGTACTGGCATCCCATATGGGCTCTGGTTCTAGTTCCGGCTGCTCTACTTCCCACCCAGCTCTCTGGTATGGCCTGAGAAAGCAGTAGAAGATGGTCCAAGTCCTTGGACCCCTGCACCCACGTGGGAGACCCAGCAGAAGCTCTTGGTTCCTGGCTTCGAAGTGGTCCAGCTCCGGCTGCTGCAGACATTTGGGGAGTGAACCAGCGGATGGAAGACATTTTTTTCTCTCTCTCTTCCTCTGCCTCTCTGTAACTCTGCCTTTAAAATAAAATAATTTTTTAAAAAAAGAACTCATAATCATTTTTTATTTCACTGATTGAAGATTTAATCTCCAAAATTTCTATTTGGTCCTTAACAAATTCTATCTCCTTAGTAATATTTTTATTCATGTCACTCATTGATTTCCTTATTTATTTAATCTTTCTATCTGTGTTCTCTTGTATCTTTTTGAGTTTCCTTACAACCATTATTTTGGATTGTATATCTGTCATTTCATAGATTTCCTTCAGTTCAGGATCTAATTCTGGAACAATTATTGTGTTCTTTTGGAGATATCATACTACCCTGTTTCTTTATGTTTCCTATGTCCCTCTGTTGACATTTATCGATCTTGTGCAGTTGTTCCTTCTTTATAGAGTAGGTCTTATTGAAAAAGAGTTTATGGTTTAGCTGGAATACGGGGTTATCATTTGACTTGTTCTTTTGGCTTCTGTTCTGGATGATCCCATAACTACAGGTGATCCCATCACTACAGGCTGGATGAGAGATGCAACTTTCCTTTACTTTTCCTTTTTTCTTTCTTCTTTCCTTTCTTTTCTCTCTCCTCTCTCCCCTATCCCCTTTCCCTTCTCCCCTCTCTCCCCTCTCCTCTCCCCTCCCTTCTCCCCTCTCTCCTCTCCCCTCTCTATCCTCTCCCCTCTCTATCCTCTCCCCTCTCTCCTCTCTCCTCTCCCCTCTCCCCTCTCTCCCCTCTCCCCTTTCTCCTCTCTCCCCTCTCTCCTCTCTATCCTCTCCCCTCTCTCCCCTCTCCCCTCTCTCCTCTCTATCCTCTCCCCTCTCTCCTCTCTATCCTCTCCCCTCTCTCCCCTCTCCCCTCTCCTCTCTATCCTCTCCCCTCTCTCCTCTCTCCTCTCTCTACTCTCTCTCCTCTCTCTACCCTCTCCCCTCTCTCCTCTCTATCCTCTCTCCTCTCTCCCCTCTCTCCTCTCTCTCCTCTCCCCTATCCTCTCCCCTCTCTCCCCTCTCTCCTCTCCTCTCTCCTCTCCCCTCTCTCCTCTCTCCTCTCTCCCCTCTCCTCTCTCCTCTCTCCCCTCTCCTCTCTCCTCTCTCTCCTCTCTCCTCTCTCTCCTCTCCCCTCTCTCCTCTCTCCCCTCTCTCCTCTCTATCCTCTCCCTTCTCTACCCTCTCTCCTCTCCCCTCTCTCCTCTCTCTACCCTCTCTCCTCTCTCTACCCTCTCCCCTCTCTCCTCTCTCTCCTCTCTCCTCTCTCCCCTCTCTCCTCTCTCTCCTCTCCCTCTCTCCCCTCTCCCCTTCCTCTCCCCTCTCCCCTTCCTCTCCCCTCTCTCCCCTCTCTCCTCTCTCCCCTGTCTCCTCTCCCCTCTCTCTCCTCTCTCCTCTCCCCTCTCTCCTCTCTCTCCCCTCTCCTCTCTCCCTTCTCCTCTCTCCTCTCTATCCTCTCTCCTCTCTCCCCTCTCTCCTCTCCCCTCTCTCTCCTCTCCCCTCTCTCCTCTCTCCTCTCCCTTCTCTCCTCTCTCCTCTCCCCTCTCTCTCCTCTCCCCTTTCTCCTCTCCCCTCTCTCCTCTCCCCTCTCTCCTCTCCCCTCTCTCCTCTCTCCCCTCTCTCCCCTCTCCCCTCTCCCCTCTCTCCCCTCTCTACCCTCTCTCCTCTCTCTCCTCTCTACCCTCTGCCCTCTCTCCCCTCTCTCCTCTCCCCTCTCTCCTCTCCCCTCTCTCTCTCTCCTCTCCCTCTCTCCCCTCTCTCCCCTCTCTCCTCTCTCTCCTCTCTCTCTTCTCCCCTCTCTCCTCTCTCCCCTCTCCTCTCTCCTCTCTATCCTCTCTCCTCTCTCCCCCTCTCTCCTCTCTCCTCTCCCCTCTCTCTCCTCTCCCCCTTTCTCCTCTCCCCTCTCTCCCCCTTCTCCTCTCCCCTCTCTCCCCTCTCTCCTCTCCCCTCTCTCTCCTCTCCCCTCTCTCCTCTCCCTCCTCTCTCTCCTCTCCCCTCTCTCCCCTCTCTACCCTCTCCCCTCTCTCCCCTCTCTCCTCTCTCCCCTCTCTCCCCTCTCTCCTCTCTCCCCTCTCTCCCCTCTCTCCTCTCCCCTCTCTACCCTCTCTCCTCTCCCCTCTCTACCCTCTCTCCTCTCTATCCTCTGCCCTCTTCTCCCCTCTCCTCCTCTCTCTCCTCTCTCCTCTCCCCTCTCTCCCCTCTCTCCTCTCTACCCTCTCTCCTGTCCCACCTCTCTCACTCCTCTCCCCTCTCTCTCCTCTCCCCCCCCTTTCTCCCCTCTCTCCCCTCTCTCCTATCTCCTCTCTCCTCTCCTCCTCTCTCCTCTCTCCTCTCTCCCCTCTCCTCCCCCCCGCCCCTTACTTACTTACACCAGGAACCTAGAATTCCATCCAGGTCTCCCACGTGGGTATAGGGGCACAAGCACTTGAACTGTGTTTTGCCTTCCAGAATTCATTAGCAGGATGCTTAATCAGATAAAGAAGGTAGCTAGATAAGGGATGAAAGCATCCCCTGCAGTGTAGGGACAATCTTTGTGCCCCTGTTTTAGAGTTGTATATGGTTAGGCTTAGTGGCTTCTTTCTTGTGGAATCATACCACTGCCTTAATTGCAGAGTATTGGATGTGAATGGTAATCTCTGGTCTTCTCAGCTTGCCTCTTCTGGCAAGGAACCTCTGCGTTATGGGTGAGGTGAGGAAAACATTATTGGACTCCAGTATTTTCAGCCTTCTGGGCCTCATATTCAGTTAAAACTCTTGAGGAGGGGCTGGGTAGAGGAAGAGCACCCAGCCTCTCATGTTTTTTCATGGAGTAGAGCTGTAACCCAGAGCTGGGAGCATGAGAATGGCTGGCTGGCAGTCTGCCACTCCTAGTGAGACTGCACTCACCTGGACTGGGAGCTGAGAGAGAAAGGATCTTTGTGTACTTGCCTGGAACCACCTGAGGTGGGACTTCTGTCAGGTTGAACTCGTTGTGTGTTTGTGGGCAAGGTATGAGGGGAAGGAGTGGAGTAAATATTGTTATCTGATACCATAGATTATTACTATTCTTACTGAAATTTAATAGATATTCTTGAGTAAAAATTTTTTTGTTTTTGCTCATAGTAAACTTTTCTGAGACTATAAATGATTGTTGTTGTATGTCATTGTTATTATTATTATTTATTAACTAACTATAATTCTTTCCAAGGGAGGGTGTGGAACTCCCCATTTTCCCACTCTAGAAGTTAACCTCATATTTTTTATCTATTAATTGGTATTATAATACATGGTTTTGGAGATACTTTATATGGCATATTAACTATAACATGTATACTAACTGTTTACATTTTAATGCTTTGTACCAGGATTTTATATAGAGTAACTGTGAAGTGTTGATGCATATTGTCATGTTCCTTTATTATATATTCATTCATTAATGTCAATTATAATTATGAGCATCTATTTATAATACTTTTTCTCAGAATTATATCTTAATTAAAAGAACATTTGTGTTCTCAAAAATACATTGATTATAACTTAAATACACAAAAATACAGATGTGTCAACAATTTTGAGCAAAGTAATCTGCACACAAATGAATGTGATCTATATGATTCTATTTATGTAAGCTACAGAAGTAGCAAAGTAAGTCTGTATTGTCAGAAGCACAATAGTAGTAATTTTTCTTCTTTTGTTTTCGAACTGGGAGTTGGTTGCTTAGTTGTGTTAGTTGTGTTTTTCTTGTGAAAATCATTGAGTTTTAGATTTACATGCACTTTTGTGCATGTTAAGTCATACTTTAAAAAGTTTAGAAAACATATTTAAGGATCCTATATAAGTTATATAGTTTTTTTTAACCAAAGACAGTTTACAGTAAATTTACTTTAACTTTTTCTTATTTTAGTGTTTAAAATGGTGATGTTTTTATCCTCCAACTTTGAGATTTGTTTCCTTATTTTATAAAATGGAAATGTTAATAACATTATTATGAGTATTAACAAACCTGTTTGTTATGTTTCCTCAAAGAATTTTAAAATACTGGGAATCTTAAGATATTTTTTAAAATGTGAAGTTTTGAGATCATTTCTAAGATGTTAAAAAATTTTCCCCCCAACAAATCTAAGGAAAATTCTGTTTGCACATTAGGTTCTTTATATAATATAACTAAATCAGGAAGATCTTTTTATCTTTTGTAATACATTTTTAAATTTTATTCTGTAGGACTATTTTGAGAGAAAGTGGGTTTGCCAGATACCTTCATTCAGCTGTTCTTATCAATGGAGCTATGCTTATTTTTGGAGGAAATACCCATAATGACACTTCCTTGAGTAACGGTGCAAAATGTTTTTCTGCCGATTTCCTGGCATATGACATAGGTATGTATCTGTTAGGATTCTACAAAGTAGGAAGTAATCAGATTTTCCACATAGAAATTCTAAAATACATAAATTGACAGCATGTGTAAATGTCATTTTTGAAATAAATTCAATGATAGATTATAAATGAGAGTTTCTCCCATTTCAGCAAAATAGTATCAGATTTGGGAACAAATCTGCCAGTGTGAGTTAGGAGTGAAGATGGAAATATAGAAGTCTAGGTTTTTGAAAACTCTTGTATATTGTATCCCTGTGTGAGTTTTGTATCGCTCTATTATGTTTGGTTTTATAGTAGCTTTTTAGTAGCACTCTCAAATTGTGTCAATTCCAAGTATCAGGAATGCAACCATTTAGGTTTAGTATAGAAGAACAAAAATGAACTTATAGTAAACACACCTGATAAATTTAGTAAAAATAGTAATCGTATACAACTAGAGAAAGGAGTATAGAAAAATTAGAACTAGAGAAATAAGTTTGTGAGACAAAATGGAAACCCAGAAGCAACTAAACAGCAAGAAACTTTCCAGATAACCAGAAGTATAGTGCATTTATATAATTTGTTAATTTTAATTATAGTATCTATAGTCTGGTTGATTTAAATGAATTTATTTATTGAAATGCTATATTTAGCAATCCATCATAACTATAGTGAAAATCTGACATTTAAAATTTTTGTGGTACAAAGTTATTTGACAAAAATAAAGGAGACCAAAGAATGAAGATATAATAGAAGTATACTTTTCCTCTTAAACATCACATAGACACAAAGTCTGATTTGGAAAATTATTTCAAGTGGCTGAATAGAGAAAATTATCAAGTTTATTTGAAATAAAATTCACAGTAATGATTTTTTTAACTCAGTCTATAATTAATTTTTAAGATCCTAAATGATCAAAGCTTACCTTTCTGAAATAATAATTTGAAATAATAGCTCATGATGAATATAGAATTTTGTCAGCTTTTGGAAGGCTCGTAAATCAATGTCTGAGATTCAGAAAAATGGGTTCAATGAGGAAGTGGATCTAGGCTGTCATTGACCTTCCTAGAATCTGTCATTACCAGGCTGGCGCTATCAACATTTTGCTTATTGTAATGAGATAGCTTATTTTTCTGTAAACAGATGGAAGTTTTGTTTATTTGTCTTCTGAGAAAAATCCTAGGAAATGTGCAGAATTTTATAGTCATTATTAAAAAGTGAGATTTTTGAACTTTTGATAAAGATTTTTTGAAGAGTTTCCACAGAATATTTGTGCTTTGATGCATTTAAGATTGAACTATTTTGTAGCTGACGTATTTGGAATATATGTTTATTTCATACTGTTGGTGATTATGATAATTCGAGTTTCATGTGTGATAAATTGCTAATGAAAAAATGGGTTTTTGTCGCAGAAGGGTGATAGAAGTGTTAGATTTATCATTATTCTAATTACTGCTATTTATTAAGTTCCTTTGATTGCTAGATGCTTTATGAAGAGATTGTACACAAAATCTGTAATCTCTATAATCACCTTGAATCAAGTGTTATCATCATCATTTTTGGAAGATTAAATAAACAAGAATTACAGGAACTTGTTCAAAGTCATTCAGGTAGTAATTGATAGATATAGCTTTTTTAACACCTAAAACTCAGTGTAGTCTTTCTACCTGAGTACACCATAAGGATTAGCGCAAGTGAATTGTTCCAAATGGGAAGAATATTGTATTTTAAATAGTTTTGTATTTTAATGTAGATTTTTTCCTCTAACATCACCAACAAAAACATAAAGGCAACCATTTAATTCAATGTAGAATGAAAGTATTATGTTTCATTTCACTTAATTATTTGTGTAGTTCCCAATAACATTTTCCCAATATAACCTGTATTTATCCTCTTGATTTTGTAGCATTAAATGTTGGAATAATTTTCTAGGAAAAAGTGTTTCATATTATTTTCATACTCCATCAAGTGCTTTTCAAAATAGTTATTTTCCTAATAGAGTATGATATTGTGGTAATATATATAAGCATTGCATAATAAGCTACCTAGGAAATAGCTCTTTTTTAAAAAAAAAAAGTCATGTTGCTTTTTTTTCTCTTTAAGTATGTATAATAGGATTTTTTTGTGTGCATTTAACTGCAATGCACCTAAAGACTTAGCTGCTTGCTTTCTGTTATATAATGTTTACACCAATAGGAATTTTTGTGCCAATTCTCATTTTTCATTGTTGTAAAATATTCTATTTCAACATTACTGCCATAGTAAATTTTATATAGAGACATCATTAATCTTTCAGACTATGATCTTGCCTTCAGAGTTCTCATTATATTATGCATGATAGATCATGGCTGTACCTTGGCATTCCCTTTTTGAAGGTTGTTGTGGGCGGAAAGCAGACCTATAGGCTCAGAGACTTTGAGATTAGTCACTGATCATTTATATTCTCAAAAAATGAATGAAGTGGAATTGAGAATAGGGACAAAGCTGGTGTATCAGTCTGGATTGACTGTAACATATAGCACGACACATTACTTACTATTCTTGTTTGTAAGTCCAACTTGAAGTCAGCTTTTAAAATTTGAAAATTTTACTTTTTTTGGTTATTATTTAGTCATATTATTGCTTTCAGAAAGTTACCATAATACCTTATTCAAGATTTAAAGGATCTTTCTACCAAAAATAGCCTTCTATTAGAATCCTAAACAAGATGAAAAATCAGTTTATTATCATATTTTTTCTTCACAAAGATAATGGAATGTAATAGAAACATGAAAAAATAATATCCTGATGGATTATTTTAGCATGGAGTAGGATTTGTATAAGAAATAGTTGTTGTATGTAGAAAGCTGAACAACTGAAACTTCAAATCAGATTGAACTAATAATAGTTGTCTCTTTTTTTAAGATTTTAGTTATTTATTTTGAGAGGTAGAGTTACAAACAGAGAGTAGGCGAGACAGAAAGGTCTTCCATCTGCTCATTCGCTCCCTTAATAGCTGCAACTGCTGGATCTGAGCTGATCCGAGGCCAGGAGCCAGGAGCTTCTTCTGGGTCTCCATGTGAGTGCAGGGGCCCAAGTGCTTGGGCCATCTTCCACTGGCTTCCCAGGCCACAGCAGAGAATTAGATGGGAAGTGGAGCAGCCAGGACTTGAACCAGTGCCCATATGGGAGGCCAGCACTGCAGGTGGAGGCTTAGCCTACTATGCCATGGCACCAGCCTCAATAATAGATTTTTAAAAAAATTCCCTAAATGTGATTGTTTACTTGTGCCATTAAATTTTTTTGTAGGTGGTGGTTTTTTTTTTTACTTAAAAAATAAAAAAAAATTTAAAAAATTTTAATTAAAATTTATAAAAATTTAATAAAATTCTTTTAAAAATTTTACTGATATGTAAAAATTTGTATTTATGTGTGCTATGTGATGTTTCAGTAAATATTTACAATATATAGTGTTCAAATAAGGGCAGACATATCTGTCTCTTCATTTATCATTTCCTGTTGGTGAAAACATTCCAAACCCTTCTAGCTTTAGAAACATCTGGAAAACATTATAATTTTCTATAATTCCCTACTGTACAATAGAATACCAAAATGACTTTCTGCAATCTATCTATGACTTGGTACTCATCAATAAGCTTTTCTGAATCCCTTGTTAGGTAATTATTTAGAAATAAAATCAGTAAAAACTGAGAAGCAATCCCATATTTGAAGAAGTAACATTTTATTGCTAATGTTTGATTATTTGTGTTTTAAAATACAGTTGAATAGTTTGGAATAGCCTTATCACAAGTAGTTTATGAAGCATTTCATACATGCTATGTGGGGTGACACATCTCACTATGTATCTATGAAATGGATACAAAGCATATCATTTCATACAAAATGAAATTCAAATTTAAGCAATTTAATTTTTTGGAACTTGAGCAACATTATGAAAATTCCATCTTGCTCTTCAGTTTTATAACTGTTTTCATTTTCTGGATATTTTTTGGTTCCTCCATCTGTCAATCAATAATTTTCTATGCTTTTCATTAAGTTCTTATGGTTCATTTATCATGAAAGCAATACCACTTGTTTGGCCACTGGAAAGAACTAGTTTGTTTCATTGTTAATCAGGAAACCCTTAAGATCATTTATGCTTTTTTTTCTCCAATGAATTTACCATTATTATTTTGAACTTTGTTGTGGCCTTTGCTCAAGATGTATTTTTTCTTTCTTTGGAATTATATATAAGAAATAGTATCTTATTATGTCTTAAAAATCAGGTCAATGAGTAAAAGAAAAAATGACCTTTGTTTTGAGAAAAGGGAGCAGTAACATTTGTCTAATGTTTCTTGTAGTGCTTGGGGCTTTACACATGTGTTATAATGTAATTCTTGTAACATCCATGTAGTGTGTGTTATATTCCATTTACAGAGGAAGACACTGATTTACCATTTTTCAACCCAGACTCACATAGATTGTAAGATTGGGTATTTAGAATTTAAAGTCAAATCTAAGTCCAGAGTTATCTCTTTTTTTCTTTTAAGATTGATTTATTTATTTGAAAGGCAGAGTTACAGAGAGGCAGAGGCAGATAGAGACAGGTCTTCCATCTACTGTTTCACTCCCTAAATGGCTGTAATTGTTGGAGGTAGGACAATCTGAAGCCAGGAGTCAGGAGCTTCTTCCAGGTCTCCCACGTGGGTATAGGGGCCCAAGGACTCGGCCTGTCTTCTACTGCTTTCCCAGGCCATAGCAGAGAGCTGGATCTGAAGTGGAGCAGCCAGGACTCAAACTGGCACCCATATGGGATACTGGCACTGCAGTTGTTGGCTTTACCTGCTACATCACAGCAGTGGTCCCCAGAGGTTTTGTGTGTGTGTGTGTGTGTGTGTGTGTGCGTGCGCGCGCCAGGCAGAGTTAGTGAGAGAGAGAGGGACAGAGAGAGAAAGGTCTTCTTTCATTGATTCACCCCCAAAATGGCCGCCACAGCCGCCATGCTGTGCAAGTCTGAAGCCAGGATCCAGGTGCTTCCTCCTGG